AGAGAGTGACAGGGATGTTGTGGGAAGAGAGACTGGGTTGGTTGGGACTGGGGAGCTGGAGAGGGGGTTAGTCAGGATGTCCAGAGGCCATTTTGGTCCTGGCTGACATGCTCAGCTCCCTCATTTAGGCAACTTATATTTATCGAACATCTACCATGTGGCAGGTGTTGCTCTGGGTGCCGGAGACTGACAAAGGCTGTGCCTCGTGGACCTGACGTCCTGGCGGGGGTGCAGGGGCTGCATGAGGAGGCAGTAAGCCCAGTGGCAGGGCAGAGAGGGCAACACAGCTTGGGGGAGGGGCACCCCCACATCCTGCCCTGCTCTGTGGGTGTGGGATGGACTGTTGGCACTTCAGGGAGACATCCGAGCCCTCTCAGCGTGTCCTGGACAGGCAGCTCCTCCAGCTGCCCCAGCCAGCAGGGTCTCTGTTCAGATCTGTCCAAAAACTGGGAGCCGGCCAAGCTGGAAATTCCCAGTGAGCAAATCTTGGGGCAGGGAGAGTACGGTGATGTCTGGCTGGAGCCTTGAGAGACACAGAGGCTTGGTGTGAGGGAACTGAAAACACAGTGGATCACTGCCAAGAGAGGGAAAAGCTGTGGGCTCGTCTGCAGGTGACACCCCCGAGGTTGGTTAGATTGGTAGGGGAGACCCAGTGGGGCCCACCCCAGTGACCCGGTCAGGGAGACTTCTCGGGGGAGTCGACACCTTAGGCAATGCTCCCCGGCACTTGCTGAGGTCTTAGGCATGCTGTGCCCTGTGCCGCCCATTTCACACATATAACCTCATCTAACACTAAGAGGGCTGTTTGTCTAGGAAAACGCACGCCACATGCCACATGCCACATGTCAGACACTGGACGTTAAATGGACTCTCTCACAGAGTCCTCGTGACAGCCCTGTGTGGCTAGCACAGTTTGTTCTTGCTTTGGTTGCTGAAGCTGGTACAGACGAGGAAAGTGAAACACAGCCCTTTAGGCCCCCCCTGGCCTGGCACCATCAGGGCACGTTTTGTTGTTGTGTGTTTTCACTTTTGTGTGGTTGTTGGGGTAGAACTTAGATACAGTCAAGTGGACTAATCCTAAGTGTCCAGCTCTGTGGCTTTTGTGCATGCACACACCTGTGTAGCCTCCACGTACATTAAGATCTAGACCATTTCCAGTGCCCCAGAAAGTTCCCTTGTACCTCTTCCCAGTCAATTTCCCTCCAAAGGGTGACCACACTTCCGATTTCTCTCCCTGGAGGAGCACTGCCTCTGTTAGATCACAGTTCTATGTCTGGCTTCTTTCCCTGACGTGGTATCTTCACGTTTTATCCGCATGTTGTGAGTAGCACTTGGTTGTACTTTCTGATTCATTCCCAAGCAGCATTTATTAAATGAAAACATCACAATTTGCCCATTCTCTGGCCGATAGACGTGTGAGTTTTCCAGTTCTCATCTATTGTGAATGGAGCTACAGTGGACATTTGCATACATGTCTTTTGGTCGATTTGGTCACTGTTTTTACTTAGGTTTTTTACTTAGGAGTGGAAATGCTGGACTCCTAACCTCCACAGCACACTGCCCCTCATCCAGCACCACAGTCCGGAGAGGCAGTGCTATTATCCCATTTCACAGAGGAGGAAACCGAGGCTGAGAGAGGTTGACAGTGACTTAGTTAGTAAGGGGCTGAGCTGGAACCTAAATCCTGAGCTTGGGGATTTGGCCCTAGGCTAGGTGGCTGATGCACTGCTGGGAAGCTGGCCCTTTCCTAGGGCACAAGTCCTGTTTGAAAAGACTTTTGGCCTTAGTATTCTTTGAAGACATGGAACAGAAGGTCCCCTTTCTTATCACTGGATGGGAGATGCTGGCAGCAGTGGGATGAAAGGGGAGGGTAGGAGTGAGCGCGAGACATAATGAAAGGAAAACCAAATTACACGGCAGGCAGATGCCAGGCTTCGAGGTCGCAGGCGCTGCTGTGGGCTGTGTGTGACCTCAGGTCCCTCAGAGAGAGCTCGGGATGTCTCCTGCCAGTCCCTGTGGAGCTGGGGACAGAACCCCGTCCGTGGATGATGATGTATGCAGGTTCAGGGTTTTCCCCTCTTACTGTGGTCAGTTTTTCACAGAGGCAGAGCAGCCCAGAGGGCTGTGTTGGGGTGGGGATGGGGTCCATTCCCATGCTCTGGCCAAATACAGGGAAATGGGTGCCTCTGACTCAGGAATCAGAGTTTCACATTTTCAGACTGACAGCCTCAAATATTATAAAATAGGCAACACTGCAGAAAATGTGGTTGCCACAGCTCCCAGAGCCCCGGAGGCCCGACTGGCAGTGTCAGCCTGGCCCAGACTCCTCCTGGATGCGTCTCCGAGTGTCGCCTGCCCAGCTTTCAGTGTCTCTTACCCTCGCCCGGCCGAACTCCCAGGCCAAACTCCCACCGAGTCTCTGAATCCCCGTTTCCACCAGCGAGGCATTGATTTCCGTGCATTCCTGCCAGGGGCAGGTGCTGATAAAATGGCATCTCACTCTTCTGTGGCTGCGCCTGACTAGTGAGGCAACATCTTCCTGCGTGTTATTTGTGGGGCTGCTCCATGGCAATGGCTCTCCGCGGGCAGTGAGTTTGCTCTCTGCCCCTTGGGGACCCTGGGCAAGGTCTGCAGACATTTTTTGTTGTCACAGCTTGTGGGTGTGGGTGTGTCCCTGACTTCTAGTGGGCAGAGGCCAGGGATGCTGCTAAACAGTCTACAGCGCTCTGGGCAAGCCCCACAGCAAGGAATTCCAGGCCCGAAGTGTCAGTAGTGTTAGGCTATCCCACTCCACTCTGAATAGAGGTAAGACTTCTTTGTCTTAAAAAATATTTAGAGATGCTCTTGACCAATGATAGTCATTGGTCTTTTATCTGTCTTTTGCAAGAATCTCCCTGAAACCTGTCCTCTTTTAGCTTTGTGTGTGCCGTCTTTGTTGCACACATACAAATCAAGGCCGTTGCAGCCTCTGAGTCTCCTGTCATGCCTGAGGTCCCCCACCCCTGTCTAGTGCGTATGGTTTCTTATTTCTGCTTCCACTGAGGTTTTCATTAGGCCTTAATTCATCAGGAATTGCTTTTTATGATTTTTGTGAATTTTGGGGAGGTGAGGGCCCAAATATAGTTTTCCATGTGGAGAGCCAGCTGTGGTTTTACCATGTATTAAATGAACTGTCCTTTCCCTCTGAATTAAAATCCCACCACTGGCATATTTTAACCTCCACACACACAGCCCTCCGGGCTCCTTCTTCCTTTACAATGATTCTTGTCAATCTTACTGTAATTGTATCAGATCTTAATTACATGACTTTGTGGTATGTGGTACCGCAGAGATCATTTGTTGCCTCTATTCTTTTTTCCCTCTTAATTACCTTTTTGGCCTATTTCAGACATTTATTCTTTTCCTTCTTATTCACTCTTAGGTCCCAAAATAAGGTAAGGGAGGCCTGTCGTGCCTTCCAAGCTGGGTGGTGCTGTCCCGCTCCCCGCACCCGAGCTCGGTGCACTTTCCCTCTGCGCCGCTGGTCAGGGTTGTTGTTGGCTCGTCCCTGCCTGCGGGGTCCCGCCCTCCTGCCAGCCTTGCTCTGTGCCCCGTCCCCAGCAATGGCATGGTGCTCTGCGCGTGGCTGGTGCCTGTTAGATATTGGCTGAACGAATGAGTGAGCAGATGATGCACATTTTTGTTAAACATAAAATACTTTTATCTTGTGTGTTGTTTTGGGAGGGAGGCAGCCAGAGGCTGACTCCACCTTTGTCACTGTCAGGGTGCGGGGTGGACCGTTGCTTCTCCCCTCTGCCTCAGTTTTCCTACCGGTCACACTGGCCGGGGAGCCTTGGGCTCCTTCCACTCTCACATGGCGGGGGCCCTGGGAGGGACGAAGAGCTCTGTGGGGGGAGCACCACGCAGAGCAAAGCCCCAGGCTGACTTATCACAGAAGCACAGTGCCCGGGCCCCGGGCTCCTTTTAGGAGCCCATGAAAATATTTCAGTTTCTTTTGAAATCAGAAGAAAAAACTTTTACGTAAAAGAAAAAGTTTTAATATGTACCATGTACTCACCTATCAATGCAGTCATAAAATGTAACTGAAAAATCTCTCTAGTGGAGGAAGGGGTCCATGAAGGCATGAGTGCCAAGGGCCCGTGGGGTCAGGCTATGGCCCTGCTAAACAGGCGAGGTTCGGGAGGTGTGTAGTTGGCACTAGGAGCACGCAGCCAAGGCAGAGCAGAAGCACCTGGGGAATAAAAGAAGGCTGAGGCTGGTCTGGGTCTTGCCACAGATAAGAACACACACGCTGAAGGTGGGCAGAGCCTCCTCTGCCCCCTGGGCGGCGCCCCAGCAAACCCAGATCTGAGCTGGCTCCAAGGAGCGGAAGAGAACAGCGGCCAGACAGACCTGCTTCCAGACCTGGCTGGACCTCAGGCTTCTGTGTTGCTTAGCCCCTGGGAGCCTCAGTTTCCGTATCTGGAAAACAGTAGCAGTAATGCCTTCCTTGTAGGACTTGCTGGTCATTCGTGTAATCATTTGACATGTGTTTATCGAGCACCTGCTCTGCGTGGGGCGCTGTCCCGGAACACACACACAGGGTGCCCCGCACACCCAGACCAGTGCCCAGCGCAGAGCAGCTCCTCAGTAAGCATTTGCTAAATGAATAATCAGAAGACAGGCTGGGGTACAGGGGGTTGGAGGGGGCCCCCAAATAAGTGAATACATTCATAATGCATAGATAATGATAAACAGAAACATGTAATTATATCTCATGTAAAGTGTAAATGAAAAGTAAGTAAGGTTCCAGGAAGGGAAAGGACATGGTGACAGAGACAATGACAGGTTATGGATAGCAGGACAGGAGAGAATATGCTCAGATGGGGTGTTCAGGGTGGGCTTCTTTGAGGAGGTGACATTGCAGCAAGGGCCTGAATAGGAGGATGAGACATTGATGGGGCAGACCTCGCCCTGGCCCACTCCCGCGCCCACCCCCAGCCCGCATCCTGTGGTTGCAGGGATCCAGCCTGCGCTCTGGAGCCGGGAGGACGTGCTGCACTGGCTGCGCTGGGCGGAGCGGGAGTACTCTCTGCAGCGCACCAGCGAGCACGGCTTCGAGATGAACGGCCGCGCCCTCTGCCTCCTCACCAAGGACGACTTCCGGTTCCGTGCACCAGGTTCAGGTCTGGAAACTCACTGGCTTTGCTCTAAAACGATGGAAACCCAGGTAGGCTCAGGGAGAGAGAAGGAGGGGACGTTTGTTTGAGGATCATGCTCACTTCCCAGCGCTGCTGACACCATTGTTTCCATAAATGTTTGCCTGGTGGTTCCCACCAGAGCCGGCCAACAGCAGAGTCAATTTGGCTTCTGTTTTTCCAGCCCTAGGGGTCTGTCCTGCCCCCTCCTTTCCCAGCCATTCCCTGTGGCCCTGTCTCCCCTACCACACTACTGCCTCTCATCTCCATCATCTGGAAGCTTGTGACAGGACATGCAGCCACCCAAGAGGCAGGTGACTGAGGGGGAATGAGGCAGGGCCTCCCCACCCAGCCTGGTCAGCAGCCCCCCTCCTGCCCCACCCCAGGTGATGTCCTGTATGAGCTGCTCCAGTACATCAAGACCCAGCGGCAAGCCCTGGTATGTGGCCCTTTGTTTGGAGGGGCCTTTAGGCAGAAGATGTCCAGTCGGTACTGCCCCTACTCCCTGGAAGGTGAGGATGCCCTTAGCGGAACTCTGAGACCCTCTCCCAAATCGGCCTCATAGGGAGGGCAGGGCTTCGTTCAAGCAAAGTCGTGACAGAGGCAGAGGTGTGGGAGCTCCCTCTCTGCTCCCTGTCCCCTCACCCCCACCTCCTGCCCTCTGGGATGCTCTGACTGGCAGCTTGTGGTGCAGCCCTGTGGCCAGCTGGCCTTGCCTCTCTTCTCATTTCTCTGCTCTTCTCCACAGCAAATGGTTGTTTGTATGGTGTTTCTGTTTCTTTTTTTCCTGATGTCTCCATGGAAACAGCTCTTGTCAGGGTCTCCAGGGACCTGAACTTAGGGATGACCAGTCCACTCATTGTGATCTCTCACAGCCTCCCAGCCCAGTGGGCTGTCCTCCGTCCCTGCTCTTCCTTTGGCTTCTAGAACGCCCTACTGGTCATTCCTACTCAGTCTCCTGGTTTCCCCTCCTCTCTCCTACTTCTACGTATGTTGGGGCACCGCAGAGCCCTGGGAGCCTTTTCTCCATCTCCACTCAGCCCCGGGTAATCTCACCTGGTCTCAGGCGGGGAGTGCCATCTAGTGCTGGTGACTCCCATGTATACCTGGACCTCTCTGAGCCCCAGACTGGAGCACCACACACCGCCTGCCCCACCCTCCACCGGGACGCTGAACAGGCATCTCACCTCCTAGAGCGGGCACCGGATTCCTGCCTCCTTCCAACTGCTCTGGGCGAAATGTCAGATGTCTTGTTTTCTTTCTCTCCTAGCCTGGAACTGCCTCGCTGGTCTCCTTGGTTCTACTCTTGATATCCTATGATCTGTTCTCAACAGAGCAGCTGGAGAGATTCATTAGGTCGTGTGACTTCTCTGCTCAAAATCTTCCAATGGCTGCCATCTCACCTGGAGTCAAGGCTACAGTCCTTACACTGAGCCCCTGACGCTCTGCCATCCTCTGCCACCCCTCTCCTTGCTCAGGCTGCTCCTGCCTCACTGGCCTCCTTCACTGAACAGGCCAGGGACACTCCTGCCTCAGGGCCTTTGCACTTGTTCCCTCTGCCTGGCAGTCCCTTCTCTAGACACCCACATAGCCCACTCCTCTACCTCCTTCAGGTGTCTGTCCCAACGTTAACATGTCAGCGAGACCTTCCCTGACCAGTACGCACCTGCGCCTTTCCCAGGATTTCCTGTCTGCATTATTGTGCTTTATTTTCACTCTCTATATTATGTACTGTTTCTACTTCCTTTTTCATTTTAATCATCTGTCTCTTTCCACACCCAATTAGAATATAAGCTCCATGAAGGCAGGGGCTTTTCGGGGGCTCAGTGTTGTGTCCCCAAGATTCTTAGAACAATGCATGGCTATAGAAGGTTCTCAATAAGCACTTACTGGGTGTATGGAGAAGACACTGGACTGAGATCCAGGGTACCTGGGCTCCGGACACGGCTCTGTCACCCCTTGCTTTGTGTGCAAGTTTACAGATGAGGGAACGGGCTTGAGAAATGAAGTTACTTGTCTGGGAGCTGGGGTTAGCACCGGGGCTGCCTGGCCCTCACCTCCACGGCCTCCCTGACCTTCTGACTGGGGGCTGGATGGAGGCAGATCGCTAGGAGTGCTGCCCCACTGGGCTCACAGGCAGGTCCTTATGGGGGCGGGGCTGGGGGAGGCTCTGGTTCCACAGAATCAACGGTGCTCATTTGCTTGCAGAGGGGACCAGGCCCTCCCAGGTGGGCCTCCAAAGAGGCCTCCTACAGCAGCCACCAGACCTGGGGCTTACCAACTCCTTGAGTTGCCTGGATGCCCCTGGCCTGGCCAGGGGCCCCCTCGGCAGGGAAGAGTCCTTCACCTTACCTCACTGTGCGGAGCTCGGCTGTAGGGCTGAGGGCATCTGTTCCTTCCCCGTGATGCCGAAGGCCCCCGTCGACGGCAGGATCGCAGGTGGGTAGGAGGCTGGTCTGGGGTGAGGTCGCAGGCGACAGAGAGGAGGGAGGTTTTGCTCTGGGGGGTGAGAGGGTCCGTCTGTGCTGGGAGGGAGGTGTGTGGGGTGACTGTCCTGTGTTCTGGCCACAATCCAGCCACGTGAGCAGTGCCGCCTGGGATTGCCACACCCGCCCTGTCACCAGAGCAGGACAGGCCAGTCACAGACAGACTGTCAGTCAGATTAGCATTTAAAACCTTATTAATTTTTAAATAGTTGAGCACCTACTGTGTGCTGGGGATGATTCTTTATTTAACCCCACTACAGCCCGTGAGGTTGGTATCATTATTAGCCCCATCACAGATAATGAGGCTCAGGGAGGTGGTCTTCCATGTTCACACAGGCAGTGAGGGCCGAGTCGGGATGTGAACCCAGGCGGCCTGGTCCAGAGCCTGAGCTCCAACCAGGTGATACGCTTCCGTTTTGCATTTCTTTTTAAAGGATGGACTAACAGACAGGCAAGCAGACAGACTGACAGAGAAGCACCCAAGGGTGTTTTCTAGCCATGCCGGGGCCACTGTGTTCTATGCCACCACAGAGCGGGAGGAAGCTTGCCTTCTGGGTTGGAAATGAGTAGGAGTCTCTAAAGCACAATTATTTCAGTTTTTTAAAAATAATAATGCTTAACATTCTTGGAGTGTTCACTCTGCACCAGGCACTGTGCTGAGCGTTGTTGTTGTTGTCTACTATGTTATTTCACACTCACATCACGCCCTGTGAGGAAAATGGCTTGGAGGCCCAGGTGGTGGAAGAGAAATCCTGGTGCTCCTGGGCTCCCTCTGCTGTTTGTCCCCTGCAATGTCACATTTGATTTTCCTGACTCTCCTGTTAGGATGGAGATTCCAAAGGGCTGAGTGAGGGGCCCAGGGACAGAGGAGGGCCTGGAAGCTGCCTTCGCCTGAGGGGAGGGCGTTGGTGTGCAGAGCTGGGTTAGACTGCTGGCTCTGCCTGCGGAAGCTGGGTGCCTTGGACGCATCTGTACCTCTCTGAGCCCTTTGCCCCATCTCTTCCTGGGGATAAAGGTAGATACTCCCTAGAGTTCTGGTGATTGAATGGAACAATGAATAATGGGCCCCCCGTTTCTGTTTATACCATTGTCTTCTCAATCCTGCTGCACAGGAGGGCCCCGGCAGCGGGGACCCCAGAGTGCCTTTCTAGTGCCCATCCTCACAGCTCCAGGGAAGCGCCCCGTCCACACCCCTGTGCTCAATTGCAGACTGCCGGCTGCTGTGGGATTACGTGTACCAGCTGCTCTCTGACGCCAGGTACGAGTCCTACATCAGGTGGGAAGACAAGAATGCCAAGATTTTCCGAGTTGTGGATCCTAATGGGCTCGCCAGACTCTGGGGAAACCACAAGGTGAACTTCAGCCGGCGGGCGGGGTGGTCCCCACGTACCCAGAGGAGGACAGGGCCAGGCGGTCAGAGTGGACCCCTGAGCACTAGGGCACAGTCCCGAACTGATGGGGCTTCCCCAGCAGCTCCAGGAACGGTTGGGGTCCTTTCATTTTGGGACATCCTGAGGGACAGACAGGTCACTTCCTGATGATGGGAACTGTTTCTGGAACTTGGGAAGCTCGCCTTCTAATCGCTTAGTCCCACCTTTGCTTGGCATTGCACCCTTTCAGAGCAGGTTTAAATGAATCACACAAGCTGTGGGGGTGGTTGGCTGCCTCCCCCCAGATGAGGAAGCCGGTTCCCTGGAAAAAGCCAGGATGGAAACCCAAGTCTCAGGCCCCGAGGGAGTGTCCAGTGCCAGGGCCGGAAAGGCCCGGGAATCCCTGAGTCCAGCATTCCCGGCGTGAGGAACGCCCATACCTAAATGGGTGTCTGCCAGGAGATTGTAATAGCTAAGTATTTATTTTAGTAAGAATTAGGATTTAAAAATTTACCTATCATGTCAATCTCATGACTTACAGTGGTGATATAAAGCGAGTGTCCTTATCTATAGATTAATTCATTTAAGTAAAAAAAAAGTGAGTCTTTTACAATTGTTAACAGTAATGATAATTTGTGATATGTAGCATTTCCTAAGATGGTATAGCGTTTGATTGGCTGGCACTGCTCCGGGGGTTTTGCCTGTCTTAACTCATTTAACCCTCATACCAACCTCGTGAGAGTAGGTGTTATCAGATGAGGCAACTGGGGACAGATTGGGTTACCAGCTTGTCTGTAGCCAGGAGGTGGCAGAGTGGGGCCTTGAACTCAGACTGTAGCTCTGTCCTCTATTTTGTCACCTCTCAATAGTGCTGGTGGCTGGAAGGATGCAAATGACTGAATTTTGGGTGTGGTTACCTGGTCCAATCCCCGCACAGCACGGGGGGAACCTGAGGCTCAGAGAGTAGTAAACCCATTTAGTGCATAGTGCATCCCAAGCACTGTGCTAAGTGGGTCAGCAATTTAGTTCTTCCCACAAAGCTGTGAGTCAGATGTTCTTATCCTCATTCTATAATCAGAGACACAGATTCCGAGAGGTAAAGAAACTCATCCACAGGCACACAGCTGCCAAATGGTGGAGCTGGGGCTTACACTGACCCCAAAGCCCAGCTGCTTTGCCGCTGCTCTGCACTGCCCGCCCCTCAGGGAGAGGAAGAAGTGACTTGACCCTCATGGCCCCTCGTCATGCTGTCTCTCTGATTACATTTCCAACTAAATGTGTATTTACTTGTTACTGCTTGTGGCATTTGCTATTTAAAAGCAACATGTGATTCGCTCCTGCCCCATGGTTCTCAGACAGATAGACGAGAGAATCACCCCATTTCTTCCCGGACCTTCCTCTGACTTCCTCCTTCCAAACTCAGGAGAACCCTCATGCGCCCTCACAGAACCCCGGGCTGCTCCCTTCCAGGTGTGGAAACCGAGGCCTGGAAGGAACGAGGTATGGGGTGGGGTGTGATGTGGGTTGCTTTGCCTCCCAGAACCGGGTGAACATGACCTATGAGAAGATGTCACGTGCGCTCCGCCACTACTATAAGCTGAACATCATTAAGAAGGAGCCCGGGCAGAAACTTCTGTTCAGGTGAGTAGCTTCGGGGTCGAGGTGTGAAGGGGAAGCAGGGCTGGAGTTGGGTGGGCTGGAAGCCTGCACAGCTGGGGCAGCAGCTGATCTGCAGCTGGGGCCTGAATTCCAGATTTCTGAAGATACCTGGGAAGATCATTGAGGACAAGGGCAGCCGCCTGGAGCAGCAGGAGAGCCAGGAGCAGGACAAGATGGATTTCAAGGAGAAGATGCTAGAAGTCTCTCCGTGAGGGGCACATGGACTCTGGGCACCGGCAGACCGGAGACTGAGTCTCCCATGAAGGCAGCAGTGAGCTGCACGGCCTCCTCCCTCCTCCCGGGGCAGCAGGATCCCCAGGCAGGTTTTGCACTCACAGGATCTCAGCTGTTGTCTCGGACCTTAAGGCTGCCTGGGGGACCTGGACCTGCCGAGGACTGGGAGGCTCGCATCCAGGGTGTTGTGGAGGCATCATTCTTTGGGTAGAGAAGCTCTGGGGCTGAGTGGGGCACAGGGCGTGAGCTCTCTCCCTGCCTCACCCCTGGCTACCTGCCCAGCGAGGGCATCCAGCCCGGCTGCTTCAATTTACAGAATAAGGAAGCAGAGTCCCCTCACTGAGCCTCAGCTTGCCTCGTCTGGCAAAGGGGCATGCTCAGGAAAACCCACCCCAGGGGTCTGATATGTGAAACGGACAAAAGGATGATTGCTTTGTCAACCTTGAGTAACAATAACAATAATTTTACCTGACATTTAAGAGCTTACTGTGTGCAGGCCCTGTGCTCCGGGTCCTACCTATATTTTATCTCATTCAGTCCACACGCGGAGCCTGAGAGGTTCAAAGATGGGCAACGGAGACTTGCAGAGCTGGGTGCCTCTCCCGAACCCGGTGCTGTTCCCTGTTTTCTGTTAGCGACTCCCCGTGTCTCGGGTGCTCCTCAGGCAGAGGCCACGGCCCTGCCTCTCTGCCCCTGGCATCTTCGAGGAACAATCCCCTTGTCCTCAGCTTTCAGTCCTTCAGTGACTCCATGACTTTGACCCAGCGAAGGTTGCCACGCCTCTACCTGTGGCTTCCTACGCTCCTACACCTGCATCTGCCATGTGACTTTGGGTGAGTTGTTCCACTTCTCTGGAGCCTCAGGTTTGTCACCTGTAAAATGGGGGCGCCGTCCTGACCGCCTCACAGGAGAAGCGGAAAACTTCAGGAAGACGACACTTGTGCCGTGCTCAGTGCCCGCCTGCTCTGTCAGAGGCTTACTCGCGCTGACTCAGGAAACTCTGCCAACCACAAGCTGCTCTAAGGTGTGAAGATGCCTCTGCCCCCAACCCCCATGTTCTGACTGGGGCCTCCTGAGGGGTCGGGGCCTCTGCCCCTGCACCCCCGGGCGGTCGGGGACAAAGCGAAGGGAGTGTTTTCACATAAGCGGAAACAGAACTCCTTGGGTTTGCATCCGCTTTCCCGGAAGGAGGAACCGCCTCTGCCGTTTGCCTCCCGCCTGTCAGAAAACCCCGTCTGGCTGAACCTGAGTTGGCCTGAGTCACTGCACAGGGGACGCTGATAAGGATTCTTGGACTTTGGGACTCAAAGCTCATGAGCAGGGAAACTCCTGGCTGAGTCCCGTCTGGGGTTCTCGACAATTCCACACCCAAAGGGGCCAGGCAGGGGGTCTCAGCAAATAGGTTCAGCAGGAAAACCCTTCCCTGAGACTGTTTTCTCTCCGTGACCTTGGTCCAGGTTGGACCCACACCCCACAGCCTTTCTCATCACCTCCAGCCCACAAGTGCGTGACCAGTGGAGGGACTGTCTAGATGAACTCGTCCAACTTCTCCTTTTGTAAACAATGCAGCTGAGGTCAGAGTGGGAGTGATTTGCCCAAGGTCACGCGGCCCAGGGGGGCCTGCTGCCCCCTAACGCTGCCTCAGTTCTTCCCGTCTCACACCTTCTTCATGGGTCCAAGGTGTGAGACATGAGACACTCTGAAAAGTAGCCAATCATGTCTCTTTTGCCAGATTACATTAATAACATAACACAGTCGCGGGTCATTTCTGCCATTACGATGTTGGCTTTTGCCTGCTGGTGTGTCAGTGGTTGAAAACACCTGCGTGTGCTAGGGACTGCGTGTTCGCCCCACGCTGGGACTCTCGGGGCCAGGAGTGAGCGGGGGGTGGGGGGTGGGGGGGTGGGGGCTTGGCCGGAGTTTGCCACCCCAGGTCCCCGATCCTTGGGCCCTCCACTCGGCTGCACCCCCTCCCAACCTTCCAGGCACGCTAGGCCGGGCTCTGGGCTGGACACCTGGGGGCCGGGAATAAAGGGATTCTTCGGCTCTTCATTCTATGAGCAATAATTGAGCACCTGCTGTGTACCTGGCATCAGGTGAGGCTCTGGGTTTAACTCCATTTTTTATGAATTAGGTTCCTGAAAAGTCACGAGTCACTGAAAACAAAACATGTCAGAATGGACCTCCTCACAAATAATTTTAAAAAGCTGAAAATATATTTCATGGTTTGAAAAGTAGCCAATCATGTCTCTTTTGCCAGATTACATTAATGTCAACAGTAAATAAAGAGTTGACGAAAAAAGCGTATGTTGAGAAGTTCATTAATGAACTAAGTGACATCAGTCGCTGCATCCCTCCAGTTAAACCATTTACAGCGTCAGCCCAGGCGCACCGGCTTCATGCTTCTCCATCTTTTCCTTGACACGGGTCCTTTTTTAAAAAAACACTTTTTAAACTTTAATTTTCAATTACAGTTTACATTCAATGTTATTATTATTATTATTATTATTATTATTATTATTATTTTAAGATTTTTGTTTATTTTTAGAGAGGAAAGGGAGGGAGAAAGAGAGAGAGAGAGAAACATCAATGTGTGGTTGCTGGGGGTCATGGCCTGCATTTTGGTTCGCAGCCCACACTCAATCCACTGAGCTACGCCAGCCGGGGCTACATTTGATACTATTTTACATTAGTTTCATGTGTACAGTATAGTTGTCAGATAATCATATACTCTACAAAATGTTCCAGCACCCACCTAGCACCATCCTTACAGTAGTGATTGCAATATTATTGACTGAATTCCCTATACTCTGCTTTACATCCCCGTGACTGTCCTGTAACTGTCAATTTGTGTAGTTATAATTTAATCCCTTTGTCTTTTTCATCCAGTTTCCCAACCCCCTCCCCTCTGGCACCTGGTATCTGATCTCTGCATCTGTGAGCATGACACGGATTCTTGTTGAGAACGTCCTTTTCCCTCACAAAGAAGCTCCGCTCTAGCACCCCCCAGCATTATTGCAATATGATTGACAGGAAACACTGTTTCAGTTTAAGATGTACAGTGTGTAGCACTTTCTCTAACCCTGGTGGGCCTGCCAGGTCTTAGACTCTTTCTGCAGGAAGTCGGGTTGATGCTGGATCCTGTTCTTGCGCAGGGTCCTAGTGGTGACAGCCTTTCTTGACTTCTTCCTGTGGTCTCTCCCCACGATGTTAGTCCACATTTTCTTTTTTTTTTTTGAGTATATTCTATTGATTATGTTATTACAGGTATCCCATTTTTCTCCCCTTTATCCCCCTCCACCCTGCACCCTGACCTCTAGCATTCCCCCACCTTAGTTCATGTCCATGGGTCATGCATATAACTTCTTTGGCTTCTCCATTCCCATACAATTCTTATCCTCCCCCGTCTATTTTGTACCTACCATTTATGCTTCTTATTCCCTGTACCTTTTCCCCCATTTTCTCCCCTCCCCTTCCCTGAAGATAACCCTCCATGTGATCTCCATTTCTGTGATTCTGTTCCTGTTCTAGTTGTTTGCTTAGTGTGTTTTAGTTTGTTTGTTTTTTTTTGTTCAGTTGTTGGTAGTTGTGAGTTGTCATTTTACTGTTCATAGTTTTCATCTTCTTTTTCTTAGATAAGTCCCTTTAACATTTCATATAATAAAGGCTTGGTGATGATGATGAATTCCTTTAACTTTACTATGTCTGGGAAACACTTTATCTGCCCTCCCATTCTAAATGATAGCTTTGCTGGATAGAGCAATCTAGGTTGTAGGGGCTTGTTTTTCATCACTTTGAATACTTGTTGCCAGTCCCTTCTTGCCCATAAAATTTCTTTTGAGAAATCTGCTGACAGTCTTATGGGAACTCCTTTGTAGGTAACTGTCTCATTTTCTCTCACTGCTTCTAAGATCCTCTCCTTATCTTTAATCTTGGGTAATGTAATTATGATGTGACTGGTTGTGTTCCTCCTTGGGTCCAACCTCTTTGGGACTCTCTGAGCTTCCTGGACTTCCTGAAAGTCTATTTCCTTTGCCAAATTGGGGAAGTTTTCCTTCATTATGTTTTCAAATGAGCTTTCAGTTTCTTGCTATATTCCTCTTCTCCTTCTGGCACCCCTATTATTTGGGTGTTGGAACATTTAAAGGTGTCCCAGGGATTTCTAAGCCTCTCTTCATTTTTTTAAATTCTTGTGTCTTCATTCTGTTTCAGTTGAATATTTATTTTTTCCTTCCATTCCAGATCATTGATTTGAGTCCTGGTTTCCTTCCCTTCACCGTTGGTTTCCTGTACATTTTTCTTTATTTCACTTTGCACAGCTTTCACTTCTTCATGTACTTTGTGTCTGTACTCAATAATTTCTGTGAGCATCCTGATTACCAGTGTTTTGAACTCTGCATCTGATAGGTTGTCTATCTCCTCATCACTTAGTTCTTTTTCTGAAATTTTAATCTGTTCTTTCATTTGGGTCATATTTCTTTGTTTTGGAGCACCTGTTACATTGTAAGGGGTGGAGCCTTAGTATTCACCAGGGCAGGGTGACTTGCTTCTCTGTGTTGTGGCGCTGTGTGTGGGGGAGGGGTCCGAGAGGGAACAATACTACTTGCTTGTCTCTCGCCAACTTTCAGTCACTTCCCCTGCTACCCACAAACAAATTGGGTCCTTCTGGTGCTTATTCCTGGGTGGGTGGGTTTGTGTACATTCTAGGACCCTGTGGGTCTCTCTAACAAACTCTTCTGTGATTCTAGGAGTTTCTCCTACCTCAGCAACCCTCACAGGTTTTTACCACCAGAAGTTTTGAAGTTTTGTTTCCTGAGCTGAGGCCCTGGGTTGTGTGGTATGTCTCGCTCCCCAGTTGTTCCTCCTGGCTTGTCTGCATACGAATGTGGCATATCCCTGTCCACCAGCTACCATCTTGCCCACCTGGTCCACTGCCTTGCTGCATGTCCTTCCGCCCTGGCTTCCTATCACCACTCCTCCTACTAGTCTGGATTAATATTTCTTCTTCAACTCCTTGGTTAATTGGACTTCCATACAGGTTGATTTTTCTGGCAGTTCTGGTTATTTTTTGTTTTTAAATTTGTTGTTGTCCTTCTTTTGGTTGTGTGAGGAAGCAAAGCATATCCTATGCCTCCACCTTGGCTGGAGGTGACCGCTAATTCACATTTTCTACTCAAGTGTTCTTTCAACCTCCCCCCACCCCCTTTCCTTCCAGTAGTCACCATGCTGTGGTCCGTGTCTATGAGGTGTTTTTGTTTGCTTGTTTAATCCCTTCACCTTTTTCACCCAGCCCCCCAAGCCCCTCCCTCTGACAGCCATCAGTCTGTTCTCTGTATCTATGAGTCTGTTTCTATTTTATTTGTTAGTTTATCTTGTTTATTAGATTCCACATATGAGTGACCTTGTTTATTAGATCGACAGTTTTAGAGACACACAGCAAACACATACATTTACAGAGCAAGGGCTTGGTGTCTGCACACCACTGAGCATCTGGCGGCAGATGCAAAGGTGGTGCTGGCTCACCTGGAGCCTGCCCAAGGCTGGGTCAGGTCCCCTCCTCCGCACTGGCTTGGCCAGTCCTGGGACCTCTGAGCTAAACTGCTACCAGGATAGCCCCAAGGTTAGGGTGAGGAATTTAAAGTGGGTTTTCCTGAAATCAGAATTGCATATTTTAAACATTTAAATCATAATCTTAACTTTTTAAAAAACATTGATTTTTAGAGAGAGAGAGAGGGGAAGGAGACTCAGAGAGAGGGAGACACCGACTCGGTGCCCCACTCATTTACACAGTTACTGGTTGACTCTTGTATGTGCTCTGACTGGGGCTCCAACTCACAACCTGGGCCTGTTGGGATGATGTTCTTAACGGGAGCGATGTGGCCAGGACATAACCTTAATTTTTAAAGTTCCCAAATCCTTGTGAGTTAACTGTCTGAGTGAGGAGGGTGAAGCCCTGCCCTTGGGTGTCCACTCACCAGTGGGGAGATGGAGGCGGCTGACAGGCAGATGTTGTGAATGAGGGGCAGTGGATGAGTGCTCACTGGCTCAGCGGTGACAAAGTAGCACTGGTGAATGCTGCTTGGCAGGTCCAGGGAAAGTGTCCCTAAGGAGGCTCATTCAGGCTTCTGCTCTGCTTTCCCCTTTGTCTTTTGGAGGGTGAGGTTTGGAGGCAGGGAGGGCAGCGGGTCTTCCGATCCCAAGGGCTCAGGGAGAATGCAGGTACAGGGGGACTGGGAGGGGCTGACTGCAGAGGCCTGTCCTGGAGGGAGTATGAGGGGCGCTGAGGTGCTTGCTTGGGTCAGCTTGGCTCCCTAAGATGCGGCAATAGACCCGAACAGGGCTGAGACTCCCGAGGGGGAGGAGGGGGCCTTTCAGGAGAGGGAGGGGCTGTCCTGGGTATGACCCACAGGGAACCGCAGGAGGAGACTCCCAGCAGCCCCGCCTCACATCCCCCACTTCTTGGGCAGCTGCTCTGTGAGGAGAAAACCACACTACTGAGGCCAGTCCACAGGAGCCTGCTGTTCACCCAGCATCCTTGATGGAGAAGCACAGTCCCAGGCCCTGTGCTGGGGGCTTCCCCGCACCACTTCACAGGAGTCTGGCATCCTCTGACACCCAGGTCTAGGCTTGGGGTGATTAAAATTATGCCCTGAGGACGACGTGAATTGAGAAGGAGAAATGATGAGAGGAGCAGCTGGCCTGGGACAGGCGCTCAGTACAGGCAGGGAGCCTGCCCCCTCAGGGCCCCACCAGGTGAGTTAGTGTGGGGGGAGGGCCGAGCAGGATCCCACACTCAGCTCAGAGGGGGCTGCACCGGCACACTGGGCTTTCGGGTGTCTTCGTTTTTGCTCAGATTTTGTGAAGTCCATGAGGAAA